CAGGCTCCCGGGAATGCTGACAGTGCTGGTCCTAAGATTACACTTCTAGAAGCAGTGACCTAGAGAAAAGCTCCTGTAAAGCAAAGCTTTCGATGAGGGCAATAACAACTATCTTCAACTCCAGAGCTGTAAACTGAAAATAAACTTCAATATATTCTAATCACTGAGTTTTTATTTCAGACTCTTAAATCTGGCATAACTGACAGAAGATACCAATTACAGTTAAATGTACCATAAAGAGCAATTCCTTTGTATAAGTGAAGAAGCGGAAGCCGACTACTGACTATACCTTTGAGTCAATGATTAGTGCTTCCTGAAAAGGGGACCTATATCTTTTTATTTTTAAAGCCCTTAAACAAAAGTATTTTCAATCACTGCTGAATGGGATGACCTGATTCCCTTCCTCAGTGAACATACCATGTACTTGGGGACAGACAAGGCACATGTGTTCAAAGTCTCTGGTAAAGCACATGGCGCCCTCTCTGGGAAACGCTACCCACCCTCCAAACAAACGCAGAGCTACGCCAGGCAGACGTCTGGACACCCTGAGCTCTGGACAGATTCTAGTTCTTGCTTCCTGCTGGGTGCCCTCCACAGAATACAACTCGCCCACCCATTCAGGGTGGCCCTGTGTCTGTGAAAAACTTGAAAAACAAACTCTGGATGCCAGAGGGAAAATCAGAGGCTGTGGCTAGAGTTCAGAGAAAAGACCCATTGTCTTCTACAGTCAAGGGAAGACTGAGGGAGGGTGGGAAGCGATCTAGGCCAGGGAGCTTCCTGAGAGACTTCTACTGTTGCCACCCACCACCTTCATCCAATGAACCCTCTCGCCCTCAGTCCTAACTTCTCCTGGAGAACTCCCTCGCCCCACTCCCAAGTAGGCCGGCTGTGCACGCTCACTGCACAGGCATTTTCCACCACACTCACAGCAAATGTAGCCACGTCGTGTGTGGGCTTGCTGTGAATCTGCCCACAAGACCGTAGAGCTCTGTGTGGGCAGGGCCATATGTGTTTTCATCATTTTACTCTCAGTACCTGGTACATGAGTACATAACAAGCACATGTTGAATACTGAGTTGCAAAAGTATTATGTATGTTGTAGTAAGAATGCCAGTAAAGAATTATTTGTGGTTTCTTCACGGGGAAGGGAAAGGTAACCAAAATGTGCTGTTTTCTGACAATAAAGAGTAAGAATCCAAGATGCTGGGAAGAAGGCAGCGCTACAGGGGACTTGCGGCTCTGTGCTGCTATTTCCATGCCTTGTGCTAAAGCATGACAATTCACGGAGCTGTCATCTCTGAGCTTCACATTGTAAATATTGACGGTGTGAAGACTTGCTCACATTTGGCTAAAGTATGAGAAATGGTTCCCAGCCTAAGATCTTGAAACGGAGAAATCACCTCTGCAGGCAAGACAGGCCAAGTAACCGTGGTGACCGCTTGAACACAGAGGCAGAGGCAGAGGCAGCGCCCCCGGCGACGGCGACAGCGCCTTCGCGGTCCGGGCACGGCCCCCACAGCGCACGGCCTCCAGAGCCTTCCTCACCGATGGCTCTCAGCTGCCGCCTCCGTCTGACGCGGAACACGCCACTCGCGCTCCCGAGGCCCTGACTGCCTGGCGCTGGCAGAACCTCGGCCTCAGCAAGTCGGAGGCCACAGAGCACCCCGCCGCTGCCGCCTTACCTCGCAGCTGAACACCGGCCCCCGGAACACTGGAGACCACCAGAGACGCAGCTGCCACATGCACTCTCCTCGGCCGCCTCCTGGCGCCCTGGGCAAGCGCCCACTGCCATCCGTTCCTCTTCACAGGAAGCGCTGCCCTTCCCGGAAACGCCGAGGGGCGCATGGCTCCCAGGCAGCGCGGCTTCGGGGTCTCCTGAGAGGCCGTGCCTTCCGCCCCTCGATGCTGGCACGACCCCGGCCCTCTGGCTCTGCTCTCTCCCTGCATGGTCCTCCCTAACTCGCCCACAGCGCCAGCCTGACCACGCTCCCAGACAGCACAACTCCACCCAAAGCCAGCCGCCCTGGAGCAAGCTGCTCTCACCCTGGAGCAAGCTGCTCTCGCGCCCTCCCACCGCTGCTCCTGCAGGTGACACGCAGCTGCCTCCAGAGCCAAGGCCCACACCCGCTTCCTGTCACCCCACCTCCAGCGTCACGGCCTCTCCATCTTCACAGCCCCTAGCGGGTCCCACCTCTGCCTACGTCGCCGCCCCGACGTGCCCACCGTGTGGGTGCAGACCACAGCGCGCTGTCACTGTTCTCTGAATCCTTTGCTGCTTCATCGCCTGCCACACACGCTTCTCGGCAGGATTAGGCCCTCGGACCAGGCTCCTGCCGCCCAGACGGCGCCCTGGCTGAGCGGCCCCAGGCTGACTCCATCCCCGCGCCAACACCGCCCTGGGTTGCGGCCCGAAGCCGGGGCCCACACCTGAGACGCCCTTCCGGGAGCAGACCAGCCTACGCTCACTGCCGGGCCTGGGCATGGCCCATCGCCACTAGCCCCTCAAGTTCCACTCACGTCCTCCACGGGCGCCGATGGCCTCTTCTCCCCGTGAGGCACCAGATTCCTGTTACAACTGTTTGCTTACGTATCTGTCTCCTCCATACCCACTTGAACACACTTCTTAATTTGCAGTTTTACTATGACACTTTACGTGCATATAGCATAAGCTGAATGAATGTGAACTAAACACTGTTGGCAAAACTTGCTGTTCCCGTCACAGGACGTAGAAAGACCATCAGAGTCCCATTATGCAAGATTCCAGAGCAGTAAACTTAGAATCGGCTATCTCGTGATTTAATTTGCCAAATTTAAATAATGCACACACAATCCACTTAGCTCTGCTCTTTCTCCTCTCATGCACTCTGTCTTTTAATACCTTACTCCAACTGTGAATCATCTGTCGCCTTTGTATTTTTCCTTTGGAGCCCTGTCAAGTCTCTACGCAATGAGTCAAAATCCTGCTCTCGGACAGGCCTAGCCTGGAACCTGTGGGTCGCACTGCAGCTTCCCCTGAAATATTCCCATCGAGCTCCGTCTAGCAGTAGACAGCTCTCCTTTACAGAGTTTTTGCTTTACTACATTCATCTCATCTCCTTCTCATCACGAAAGGTCCGTTTTCATTACTATCATTTTACAAGTGAAAACAGGTGCCGGGAAACCCAGCAAACACCCTTTGTAAGCTCCCCACACCAGAGCCCTCGCAGCGCTGTGCTTCTGGGGTCTGGCCGTCTTTCTCGCCTGGGACGCTGTTTGCCACTGTGCAGACCGTTCACAAGGCCGCGTCCACTCTCGCTGGCCACCCGCACATGACTCCTCTCTCTCCCAAACACCATTTCCTGCTCCCGCTTCTACTTCCATCCACTGCTCGGAGTGCAGCTGAAATTCCACAGCAATCACTTTTCTCCCTTTCCTTTTCACAATCCAGGGACACTGACAAAGGAAGCTGTATTTTATGACTTTCACCCCAGAGCCCAATCCAATGCAAAAATCTAAGTGAAACTTTTACCCCAGCCCAGTTTTCTCCGAAGGGCCTTTCTTCGGATCTCGGGCATCGCTAGGTGACTCCTGGGTCCACATCCTGCACGCCTCTTCCTTCTCCTTCCCTGGCTCTCCTCCATACCAGGCAGAGAAAATGCCAGACTCTGCCTGTGAAACACGACCACTCTTATAAAAACGCTGACGAACAGCGGGACACCAACTATTCGGGGAAAATGAGGCTCGGAACGGCCCACGTTCGGTCCACACTCCCGTACTGTCCCGTGCCCCCGACAGCTGGCTGTAGTGTGGCCTCTGTCTCCCACCCCCAGGCACAGCGCCCACCTCCTGCGCTGCGAAGAGAGGAAGGACCCGCAGGACTGCAGTCACAGACGTTTCCGCCAGGTCCCTCCCCACCCAGCACAAGCGGACCTGCACCGGAAGGCCGGCAGCCGCTCGCCTCTCTTGCTTTCTTCTTACCAGTAATGTCGCAGGGAAGCAAGGATCAAGCCTACGAAGGCCCAGCCACTCAGACCAGGCCCCACCCAAGAGGCCACGAGGCCTCCGTGCTTCCCCAAGAGCCTCTGACCCAAGGCCTTAGAGTTTGTCCCTGGTCAGGAGGAACACACACGGATCACAGGGTAGCCACAAGCAGGCTCGCAGCAGCCCCTGAACCTTTCATCTCTGCCCATTTTCAGAGGGAAAGGCCAAACTCGAGACCTCGTGTTCCACACCAGGGTGAGAAGAGCCAAGGCTAGCTGAACACAGCTCCCAGGCCTTCCTTCAGGCTTCTGGACTCGCACACACGTGCAGACGCGCTCTTCCGGGAAGCCTGGCGGGCAGCCTCACCCTTCCCCACCTGTTTCCCGCAGAGTCTTCATCACCAAGATTCAACGAGACAAGGAGCTAAGACCTTCCGCTGCGGGGAGGAAACACCTCTCCTGTGGCGAGGGCTGGGGCTGCAGGATGAAGTGGGTCCCCTCACGGCGGTGCAAACTGCAGGTGTCCAGGCAGCAGAAATCCGTCCTGAGGCCCGCGTGTCCCTAGGCGCGAGGTGAAGTCGCGGAGCCCGGTAAAGCAATCGCACTGGAGCCCGCAAGTGGACGCGGCTGAGTGCGGACCCCCGCCCCGGTTACAGCGCGAGTCCTCCTTCCCTGGCGGCCGCGGAGAGGAGAGGAGAGGCCCGGAGGGCGGTGGGCGGCCTGCGACCCGCGGGCGCCCCCAGACCCCTCTCCCGGGCCCTCCGCTCCGAAGGAGGTCAGAGGCGCGAGGGGGACGCGCTTTCCGGAGCCCCGAGAGGGCACCGCCCACGCTCGCCCGCCCGCCCGGGTCCCCGGAGCAGGACAGTCTGGTCACGCCGAGGGGGCCGTGACCCGTCGGGACCAAGCCCTGCGCCGGCCGGAGGTGTCCGCGGACCCGGAGGGGGCCGGCCGGAGGCGCAGGCGGAGGCGCAGAAGGAGGCGCCGCCCGGCGAGGAGGCCGAGACAGGCGACCCTCGCCGCGGGGGCCTGGGGACAGCTCACCTCCCCGCAGGCTGGTGGGCGCGCGGCGGGCGGGTCCCCGGCCCAGGCCGCCCGGCAGCCGGCGAGCGCCCAGCAGCAGATCCACGCGGCGCCCCAGGGCGGCGGCATCGCGTCCCGCGGCAGGTGCGCGGCGGACGCGCCGGACCGGACCGGACCGGACCGGGCGGCGGCGGGCGCTGCTCGGCTCTGCTCGGCTCTGCTCGCGCCTGACCTTCGGCTCCGTCACGCGGGGGCGGGGCCTGGGGAGGGGAGGGGCGGCGGTGGGCGGAGCGAGGGGCGGGATGCAGGCGCTCCGTCAGGGAGCGCAGCCGGGCGGGGCGGGGCGGGGAGGGGCGGGGCCATAACGGAGACTGCGTCTCAAATAGGATGGAGGGTAAAGAGGCTACTACATAGGATACAAAAATGAAAAGAATGAAAGCGACGATTCCAAAGTACGTGTAGGAAACAGGTCACGTGGAAAGGCTGCACTGGCGTCCTGGTTCGCTGAGCCGTCGCCACCGGGCCGTCGCCTCCAGCCTCGCAGTCAGAGGCGGGACCTGCGCGTGGACTGGCGGCGGGCAGCTTCGCCTCCGGGACCGGGAACTGGCGACCCTGCCCGCGCAGGCCGGGCGCGAGCACCCAGCCAAGGCGAGCCCCGCGGGACCCTCAGCCGGTGTGCTTGGAGTTCTTTGCAAGTGTTTTACCCAGCATTTCTTCCCTGGGGTCCAAAACCACAGAAAGGGGAACGCCTCCAATGCCTCTTCGGCCAGGAGTTGTGAGCATTTTTATATGTTGTGTTTGCGTTTCGCTAACAATCACACATTAACCTTTGCACGCCTGGTTCCTGACTCGTGGATCTGTGGCCCACATCCTTGGTACCTTTGCCCTCCGCACTCCGGCGGGCCACCAGGCCTGCTTCGCGCCCTTCAGCTGCCCTCTGGCCTCCACCTCCACCCTTGTCCTCTGTTTGCTCTGCTCACAGTGCTCCTTCCTCGCCAGGTCTTTACCACAACGTCATTCCCCAAGACTTGTTTCTAAAATCCCTGAAAGTCCCTATCTCCCTTCCTTCACTGATTTATTTATTGTCTATTTCTCCTCACGAGAATGGAGGCTCCATAAAAACGGGTTTTTTTGCTTTTAATTGTTGCATTGCCAGATCTATTACATAAGCATTCAATAAATATGTGCTCAGGAATAAATGTATCATGTGGTCACTGTAAGTGAGAGCAACTGATTTTGTTATTAATATGAAATATCTCAGATACATTCCAATTAATTTAAGCTTCTAAAGTTTATCCAAAGATGAGCTTAGGAGAAATCCTCAAATTTTCAATTTGAGAGACAAAGAATTAATTGCAGATAATAGAACGCACTTCAACTAGTTTAAGGAGAAATGGGCCTATTCTATATTTTTTACATTACGTTACATAATACATTGTATATTACAGAATTTCTTGGAGAAGCAGTGAACAAAGTTTCGATCTATGCAACCAGGTGAATCACACTAGAATGGTGCCCTATCGAGTCCCAAAACTACTGTCATGGAAATTCCACCTAAACTCCACACCTAAGAACAGAAAGACACGGCCCCAATCACAGTGTCTCCAGAACCCATCTGTGCTCACAGACTCTGCCTCCCTCACCTTGTTTGCTTCCGCCTTTCAAATCTTGTATGAGTGTTTCCCTAACAAGCCTACTTTTAATGTAGAAGCTAACCACAAACAAGTGAACCAAATATAACTAACTAGAAGAAAGGCTTGTCTCCTCATTACTGCATTCAGTACTGAAGGTTCATTATTGGCCTCTTCTGCTGGTAGATTGAGCATTCAGGCATGGCAGAAGTCCACAAGCCTGAGAGACAGGCCAGGCACCCTTTTATTGAGTTATTTGCAACCTAACTGTCAACCTCTAATGGACTATTCATTGCTTCTGACCTCATTGACACCATGAGGTTACCAGAGAAACAAGCTGACTGGCATCAACGTGGCAGATCCGTTTCATTTGGTTATTGAAGATTTGGTGAAAATTTACATAGGACCTTAATATTCTCACACACTAGGACCGTCTCAGGAGGTTCATCCACCATTCTCCCCAGTTTTCCTTATCAGCAAACCTCCACTCCCAATATTCCCAACACCTTCACAATGCAGCCAAGCCTTAAACTACTACTTATAAATTAATGTAGATCAGTGTCACATCTCCGTCTTCCAGACAAAGTACATCAAGTTGAACCTCAGGGAAGTTCCCTTCTCCATCCTTTCCAATCACTCATGATTTATTTGTTAATATACAAAGAAGCAGAGAGCTGCCCTTGAGTTTTTTATAACATAATTGTAAGGCTAGGAACCATGAACTAAAAAGCACAGAAAAACTTAATCACTTGGAAGTGGGATGTTGTGCTGAAAGAGACAGAAAATGTCAGTATAATTTCTCCTGTGAGACATTTTGTTCAAAGAATGCCTTGTAATACCAAGCTTGTTTATGAACCATATACCCAGTATTTGCATACCTGTTAACCAATAGTGACCTTACTAGGGACAAGACTGAAGGACTCTAGTTAGCAAGACAGACTCCATATTGCTGCTTGACCCACCTGCCTGCCTTTTAGATGAACTCAGAAGGAGGAAGCTTTGAAACCTCCTCCCCTTAGAAACTCTCTTTAGAAACAACAAATGTTTGTTTTACAAATGTTCTAACAGCAGGACCTTCCCCTTCTGTACCTTTTGCTTGCTTTACTAGTTCTATCCCATAGGGGGGCCTAGAAACTGTTGGCCTCAAAGGTGTATGAAGCATGTTTGTCTTCCCCCAGTCGAGGCTCAAGTCCGATGCTTGGCTCAGGTCCTGGCCGGTAATAAACTCCTGTGTGGATTTAATATCGGTCTCTGGTTGGTTCCCTCTCACTGGGTGTAACATTCTTGGAGGCCCCAGTGAGATAGCCAGCTGCTCTGCAGCTTATTATCTTGGAGCCTTTGTTTCTTTTTAGGAGAGACCAGGATCAGACATCAGCAGTGTTTGACCCCTCCGGACACTGGTCTGCGGAAGGAGAGGCCACCCTGATGGTATTCCGGGGCTAGGCCACCCTGACGGTATTCTGGGGCTCCAGGTAGGCCAGTCCCAGTCGGGCCCTATTGCAGATAAACTGACCCACAGGAGTTTATTGGGAAACCCTCTAGAGGTAAGAATCGAATGATTCTTAGTGCACTGTGGGTAGGTAGGAGGAAGCCAGACGTGGCACAGGTTCCTCCTACCTAGAGTCTCTTTGCGATGGCAAGCAGACTCACTGGGTCGGAGTCCTCAGAAGAGCGACTCCCTGGGTGGGGTTCGAATCCATTTGGTCCCAGAGGATTTACTTGGCCAAAGTTTGTCTTTGTCTGTTTATTGTTGTCCATCTGCTTGCTCTGTGTGCCTTTTGCGTTTTCACAGGCTAAAATTATGGGTTCCTCACAGTCCACAGAAGGAACTCCACTTGATTGTGTTTTGAATAACTTCAAAAAAATTTATTCCACAGACAGGGAAGATGAATATGGCATGAAATTTTCAAAAGGCAAATTACAAACCCTGTGTCAATAAAAATGGCCCAGTTTTGGAGTTGGTTGGCCCCTGGTGGGAACTTATTCTATGCACATTGCTGGCAAGGTTTGGAATGTGGTCACGGGAGTTGGAGCCCCACAGATCCTGATCGACCTTTGGCACTCGATCGGGACAGGACTACGGTCCATCAGCCCCATCTTCCTCCTCCCTTTTTCCTTTAAAACAGACAGAGCCCAGGGGAGGATTGATTTATGTTCCTTTTACAACTCGTGATCTTTACAATTGGAAACATCAAAATCCCCCCTTCTCTGAAAAACCTCAGGCATTAATCTCTTCTTGAGTCTGTTTTTCATACTCATCAGCCAACCTGGGATGATTGCCAGCAGCTTTTACAGATCCTGTTCACCACTGAGGAACAGGACCGCATTTATCAACAGGCAGTCAGAGGCCCTGGGGCCAAACCCCAGCGTCACTCCCAGAACTCCAGGGCATTCGGCCAAGGCTGAAACAGTAGTTCCATCGCGACACCCTGAATGGGACTCCAATGATGATGACAGTAAGAGGAGGCTGGGGACTACCACCAGCACTTATTAGGGGGACTCCAGGCAGCGGCCAGAAAGCCCACTAATTTGAGTAAGGTAAGTGAGGTTCGCCAGGGAAAAAAGGAGTCTCCAGCTGCGTTTTTAGAGAGACTCTTGGAAGCCTATAGAGTTTTCACTCCTATTGACCCAGAGGCTCCCAAAAATGTAGCAGCTTTAAATTTGGCCTTTGTTTCCCAGTCGGCCTCAGATATTAGAAAAAAATTACAAAAACTGGAGGGATTTGAGGGAAAGAATAGGACTGAACTCCTGAACATAGCCCAGAAAGTTTATGATAACCATGATGCCCCCCAGAAAGTCCTAGCCAAAAAACTGGGAAAGTCACTATTGCTGTACTCCAGGCACAAGAAACAGTCCCTCCAGACAGAAAAGGAGAAAGTGCCTTTTTGGCTTTAAAGAAAGCCTTAGTGTCAGCACCAGCCCTGGCCCTACCTGATGTCACCCAGCCCTTTTGGTTGTCTGTGGCTGAACGAGGGGGCACAGCCAAAGCAGTGCTAGCTCAGGCATTAGGGCCTTGAAACAGACCTGTGGCCTACCTGTCTAAAAGACGTGATCCTGTGGCAAGTGGATGGCCTAGCTGTTTGAGAGCAGTTGCAGCCAATGCCCTCCTGGTCAAAGAGGAAAATAAGCTCACCCTGGGACAAGACCTGGTCATCACCGCACCCCATGCAGTGGACACACTGCTGAGAGGAGCCCCAGAACAATGGCTCTCCAATGCCACCTGACTCAGTACCAGGTCCTGTTGCTGGATGCTCCACACATCAAATTCGCCCAAGAAATGACTCTCAATCCAGCCACCTTACTCCCGGACTCCGACTCGTATGCACACCCCTCCATGACTGTCTGGACACTCTGACAACTTCCACCACCAACCACCCAGACCTGACTGATGAGACCTTCTTCACCAATGGAAACAGCTTCGTGGAAGACCCAGTCAGGTATGCGGGGGTGGCCATAGTCAGTCCAGGAGGACAGGTGCACTGGACACAGGCATTAAACTGGGGGCCTCAACGCAGAGGGCTGAACTAATAGCCTTAACTCCAGCCCTGTTAGGTCGAGACAAGGCTGTAAACATCTGCACTGACAGCCGGTATGCATTCACCACTGCCCATGTGCATGGCGACATCTGCAGGCAGAGAGGGCTATTGGCATCAGAAGGGAAAACTATCAAAATAAAATTTTTTTGGCCTTATTGGAGGCAATTTGGGAACCTAGGGAGTTGGCCATTATTCATTAAAAAAGCCACCAAAAAAGAGACAGCTTTGAAGCCCATGGTAACCGAGAGGCCGATGATGAGGCCCGAAGGGTGGCCAGAGAACCAGTGGGGCCAATAGACATTCTGCCCATCCGACCCTTGGATACCTGCCAGAAAGACCCACATATAGCCCAGAAGAGAAAGAGGAAAACCAAAAGTGAGGGGGTAGAAAACTGGACTCAGGCTGGTGGAAAGGGACAAACGAATGAATTTGTCTCCCCTGAGCCCTGGGGCAACAACTTGTTCATCAGTTCCATCACTTAACTCACCTGGGAGAATCAACGTTAAAAAGACTAATGAGCTCTAAGTTTTCAATCCCAGGACTGACCTCTATGGTCCAGGACATCAGTTCCAGGTGTCAGGTGTGTGCACAGGTAAACTCCAAGGTGAGACCAAGGAGCAAAGGTAATCGACTATGGGGAAGAGAGCCAGGGGGATATTGGGAACTTGATTTCACCAAAATAAAATCCAGCAATAGGTTCAAATATTTACTGGTGTTGGTTGACACCTACTCAGGTTGGGTAGAAGCTTTCCCCACTCATGGAGAATCAGCCAACATAGTAACTAAGGTTTTGTTCCAGGAGATAGTTCCCCGATTTGGCATCCCTCGTTACCTGGGGTCCGACAATGGGCCTGCCTTCACGACACAGACATCCAAATTGTTGGCAAGGGCACTACATATCGATTGGAAGTTACACTGTGCCTATCACCCACAAAGTTCAGGGCAAGTGGAAAGAATGGATAGGACCCTGAAAGAAATCCTGACTAAATATGTTCTAGAAACTGGCGGTGGGTGGCCCAATCTGCTTCCTCTAGCCTTGTTAAGAGTTAGATGTACCCCATATGTGACAAGTTTACCCCTTTTGAAATCCTGTATGGGAGGCCACCGCCACTCCTCCCTAAGTTAAACCTTGAACAGATAACAGAGAGTTCTTGTGTCTCTTTACTTCAGTCTCTTCAAGCCTTACAGATTCTTCAGAGTGAGATCCAGGCTACAGTACAACAGGCTCGAGAAAAACCCTTGCGATGTTCCGGCCCCATGGTTTCAAGCCAGGAGACCTGGTCCTGATATGCTTGGTTTGCTTGCACCAAGGACTTGATGAAATACATTCCCAAATCAGTCTTGGCTACCCAATCTGCCACTTTATTTTGTGTCACCTTGTATGTTGTTCCACAAGTCTTGTATTGTAATAAAAAAAGGGGGCCACGAACATCTGGGATTAACCACTGAACACTATAGGAGTAAAGGGGCTGCCCCCATTTTAGTGCCCATTCTGGTGGGATTAGGAATAGCCTGGTCAGCAGCTATTGGAACTTCCTCCCTGATACTTCAGGACACAAATTTTAAAGCCCTAAGCCACCAAGTAGCCAGAGATTTGGGTCACCTGAAAGACTCAATCTCCAGATTAAAAAACCAGGTTGATTCCCTGAGATGGTCCTACAAATCAAAGAGGACTTGACCTCCTGTTCATGAAACAAACAGGGTTATGCGTAGCCCTAAAAAAATAAATAAATAAAACCTGTTGCTTCTATGCCAATCAGTCTGGTGTCATTAGAGATACCTTAGCTACGGTCAGGGAAATTTTAAAGACTAAATAAGCTCAACAAAAGGATCAAAATTGGTTTCAAAATCTATTTAACTGGTCCCCATGGTTAACTACCCTAGTTTCTGCTGCAGCAGGCCCCTTAGTTATCTTACTTCTGCTTTTGCTCGTGGGACCTTGTATTATCAATGATCTGACTAAATATGTTAGACAGAAGGTTGATACAGTTAAACTGATGGTATTGAGACAAAATTATGAGATTTTAGAAGACGTTTTAGAAAACGAATCTGAAGAGTAAATACAGAAATCAAAGATTTGATTAAGTTACAAGAACCAGTGGGGAATGAAGGACGCTAGTTAGCAAGACAGACTCCATATTGCTGCTTGACCCACCTGCCTGCCCTTTAGATGAGCTCAGAAGGAGAAGCTTAGAAACCTCCTCCCCTTAGAAAGTCTCTTTAGAAACAACAATCAACTATTGTTTTACAAATATTCTAACAGCAGGACGTTCCCCTTCTGTACCTTTCACTTGCTTTGCTAGTTCTATCCCATAGGGGGGCCTAGAAACTGCTGGCCTCGAGGGTGTAACAAACAGCATTACAGGATATTAAAGCAGGCCATTAATGACCTATGACCCAACAATTCTTCAACCATCTTATCAACTTTCTTCTTTTAAAAGAAACAAAAGTATGACTGGCATGCACAGATTCTACAAATCCCTTTCCCCAGAAATCTCAGGTGAGAGTAATGAAGGAATAAGTTGTAGCTCTTAAAGGTCAGGGATGTGCAATTCCCACTCATTGTGGGGTACTTTAGCCAAACAATCCGAAATTTAAAAACTAGGTGATTAGACACAAGACTTGTTTAAAGGGTTTAAATGCTCGGCACTGTAAAGAAGTCACACCTACAGAACCGTGGAATCTCAGGAAGGACTGGCCTTCAAAGTTCATGGAGCAGATCCCGTGTCAAATTCCTGAATTCTCTCTGCAGTTCTCCCTCAAAAGACTTTCAGTCTTAAAAAATCGCAGTGACTGAGAAGCTACTGTCTTCAGAGGCAGCCATACTACATTTAGACAGCTCTTGTGGTAAAATAATTAGACTGGATTCACTGTGTCGTTCTACCCTGTAAAAATGTTTCTCCCAAAGAGCCCCAAATCTGTCCCTATTATCATAACCCTACTTCTATGGTCCACACAGGGCAAGCCTCTTTCGGCGATGATCCTGCAGAGGGCTTCTCCTCCAGATAAACATTTTATCTTCCTTCTTTATTTTTCATGATTTGATTTTGTGTGGACCTCCATTTCCCTACATTTCTCTTAAGATGACATTCAAATGGACTTACCAGCACTGTTTGAGCCTGTAAGACAGTAGAGTAGACGTATAATTTCCCTCCTTCTGGAGAGGTTCTGATTCTATCATCACAGCCATGGATCATCACAAGGTGGATTTTCTGTAAGTTGAGAAGGTGCACAAGGAGTTCATTAGCTTCCCAGGAGCTCAAAAGTGGCCTCACACACACATCATCTTGTTTTCTCTGTGACAACGAAATATGAAGTAGGTAGGTACGATTTCTAGCCCCACTTCAAATGAGGAAAATGAAGCTTTAAAAGGATAAATCCCTTCCCCAAGGTCAAATACCCCATAATGGCAAAGCTTGGACTCTTCCAAGATTTCTAGAAAAGTAGTAAGTAGCATTGCCTGAGCACCTACTGTATACCAGCACTGTTCTGAGACCTTATCAGTAGAAAAAAATTATTCCCATTTTACATGCAGGGAAACTGAGGCTTAGGAAAGTTTAGAGGGATGCTTAGACACTAGCAACTAGCTAATCTGGATACACTGACTTTATATATTCAGTTCAAGTTCTGATGTTTTTCACTCACAAAATAATCTTACTGGATTCATTGTATAATTCCACCCTGCAAAAATGTTTAGAGCTACTAGATTCATCAGGTTTTGATCCCTGCTCCTTTTCTACAACCACAAATCTTATTAGAAAAGCTTCCATGTGTTCAAAATCACCAGCAATTTACACAATGTAGAAGGCCTAGGAAAAAGTCATTCAACCTCCTCAGACATCAGCAGCAATCATTCGTCTCCTGCACACTGTTGCACCCAGCCCCCTTTCTTCGTTTGTCCACAGAGATACGAGTTTGTGACACTTAAATGCAGCTTTGCCAGCCCCGTTCATATCTAGAAACCTTATAAAACAGAATATCATAAGTCCAGGAATGGGAGTACAGATAGGCTCCTAGAGACGCTGAAGCAGGAGGGTTGTGAGTTCAAGGCCAGCTCATGCAATTTAGTAAGCCATTGTCTCAAAGTTAAAAAAAAAAAAAAAGGAAAGAAAGAAATTCAAAACTAAAACTGGCTAGGGATGTAACTCAGCTGTACAGCACCCCTGGGTTTGATCCCCAGTACCACCAAAATACATATCACATTAGTAGGAAGTAATTTACAGGTAAATCCACCTTGGAGCTTAGAGATCTCTATTTTTTGTTCTAAGTATGTATGATGTTTCTGAGAAACAGAACATTAAAATGTACATTACCTTGCTTTCATACTTACGATACCATATACTTATTTACGTAATTATGCGCGGCACTGGCTGCATCCGAAGCTGCAAGGTGTAGCTCGGTGGCTCCCATGGGCCTCAGGCTCCTGACCTGACCCCAGCCAGGCAGTGTGACCCTGGGCCGCTTGTATACTCCAGCCTGCAATCCTGGCCTTACCTCCAAGATTAACAGGATCACTGCAGGGTTTTGTTTGCATCTCCTACTCGGATAAACTAAGTTCACTGTTTTGCTCAACTGAAGTCCTCATCCCTGTAAGTGAATAATCTTCTCTTGAAAGTTATCCAGAAGCTTTTGATAGATGCTTAGCACCTGAATAATAATCCTTTAAGACCACAAATCTCTTACATAATCTTTCCTGGCTTTGAAACACCGTAATACAGTCAAGAGATTTGGCAATTTTCTACTAACTTCGACTTGTTTGGCATTTAATAGCCTTTTCTTATATAAAATAATGCTTCTTTCCACTTCTGCATTGTAGTGATATCTCTTTTTTAAATCGTTAGATCAACATTGGGATTCAAACCCTAGTTAAAATTGAAGCACCTGACTGCTACCACAAAGACAAGGGCCTCTGAGAAGCACAGAGTGTGCTTAAATGTGCCAAATGTTTCATTTATCATTGCTTTTTGAGAAATACTCAAATTTCAAATAGGCTAAAATGTGAAAAATATATAACTCCGATAATTGAAGAAAACCAACAGTTATTGTTAAAGATAAATGGGTCCACATTTCAAAGCGTACAAAATTGAGAATTTCAATAGTATACTTCTGTTCTCCATTCACCATAAACCATAAGCTTTTTGATTAAGAAGAAATAAGTCACACACCTAAATTCAGTATCATGAAATATTTTCTTTAAAATACTTTTATATTTTCAACTGTATGCCAAACTTGTCTTGAGTTTGTGTAAAGCTGGTGTTACAACGACAGTCCTGTTCCAATCACTTTTATTTTGAATATATCTGTAATGTCATCAACCCTCTGGGAGATACAAAAGGTCACTTTCCTCTTTTAAAATACAGAATTATTCAACAGAGCTTAATAACTGCCCTGGTGATGCAATTCTTACTGTACCTCGGGGAGAAATGCCCCTTGAGACACTTCCAGATCCACTTTGATCTGTAAGGTCACTGCCTTTGCCTGAGAAAGACCCGCCAGGCCCTCCTCAGGGAGTGCAGACACACACATTCGCATTTTTCACCTCAGCGCGGAAATAAAATTACACTAGCCATTTGTAGCATGCTTATTAGTGTTCCTTTGACAATTCTCTGACCCTCAGCATTTACAAAGTAGATCTCGAATTTTGATGCAACAAATCCTGATTGGCATTTTTTTTTCTTAGCAACAAAATTAAGTGGCGTAAGAAATTTAAAGGGATCCCGTTGAAAGAATATCATAATCTAATAAAATTAAATAAAATGACCAAAACTATCCAAACAAGAACCAGCTCTGCTCTCTTTAAAATGAGAAAAAAAGAGGATAAAAAGGTTGGGAGTCTGAAATCTGAATATTGTGTCTTTGCAGTTACAACTAGACATGAATCGTATTCACAGAAGGAAAAACAAGATGGGATTTCAACCCTATGAAGACAAGTCATTTTTCTAAGAAACAGAAGAAAATAATTACGTAAACGACATCAAGCCATCCTGAGAACCGGAGGCAATGTCAGAAGCTGCCTGGCAGGTGCGACCAGACTGCTGCGCCTCTCGGCAGGGCGGACTCGGCTTCGGCTTCGGTTTCGGCTTCGGAGCTCGCGTCTCTGAGCAACCACTGCCGCTGAGCGCACATTAACCGGCGCCAACGAGCTACCTTCGCTGCCAGACGTAATGAAATGTCTGCAAGCTTAATTTATACATCACATAAGCACTTACTGTTCCATACCTTACGCAATAAATTAGTCCGCTGCTAATCTAACTTCAAACCGCGCCCCTGCCCGGCCCCAGCACCGCCCCCCCGCCCCGCCCCGGACCCCGACCCCCCGCGG